AAAAAAAAAAAAAAAAAAGTGAAAACAAATGCTGCAGTTTATATAATTTAGAGTACCTTAAAAACATGAAGAATGTTATTAAGAATCAGATAAAGATAGGAAGCTTAAGAGACTTTGGGGGACAAAATAAGAAACAAGATCACTTATTTCCCTTCTAGGTGGGGCTCTTCACAGAAATTGGACCGATGTCCTGCTTCATCTCTCGACATGTAAGTCTAGGCGCTCGATGCTGGGTGGGAGTGGAGGGGGGATTAAGGAGGAGAGATGTCCATTCATGACTATCTGTTGAAGCTTTTGTATAAACTGCTGACCCAGCCCGACTTTCTTTTCAGTCCATCCCATCAGAGATGGAGTTTGATCCTAACTCAAACCCACCATGTTACAAGACAGTGGATGAGGTGAGTGGGTAGGAAGAGGCTGGTGAAAGAAGGGAGGCAAGAAGGAGCCACCCGAGGGAGGGTATTGGCTTGGGGGGCGTGGTCTGAGTACACTGTTCTCCTCTCTCCAGGACATTGTCATTCAGCAGGATGATGAGATCCGTTTGAAGATTGTGGGAACCCGTGTGGACAAGAATGACATTGTGAGTCTCTTGCCTGCCTCCCTGCCTGTACTGGGCAGAACCCCGGGAGCTGTTGATTTCTTACCATCCAGAGTACCTGGGGGTTCTGGGCTCTTCTGCCAGGAAGAGAGGATGATGAGTGGGCAGAAGGCCTGGGGCTGGGAGGTGGGGGTGGGTCTTTGCCCTTCTTGGCTTCATTTCCTTTTTACCACCCCTCTTGCAGTTTGCTATTGGCTCCCTGATGGATGATTACCTGGGTAAGTGCCTGATCTTACATGCTGGGGCTGCTGCCGGAGAAGGGGAGAGGGACAGGAGGAGGATATGGGGTTAATGCCTGAGTCACAGACATAGCAGCTCTCATGCTATCAGCTTGGGAGATCCAGGCTGTGTGCCCCTTGGAAGGGGAAGTACACAGTTGGGGCTGCCCCAAGCTCAGGGCCCACTGACGTGCCTTTCCTGTTCTCACAGGACTTGTGAGCTGAGCACGGGGGCTTCCTACCTTGTTTGGTCGTGATTCAGGAAGCGTGACTGTCACACATTGTCCAGAGGCCCCGTCTGGCTGCTGTGGGGAAAGCAAGGAAGGTTTCTTGTGCCCAGATGACATCTGGCTCTACTTCTGGCTTAGCTGCCACTCCCAGAGTTTTGATTTTGTTTCCTAACCATAAAAGGTCTTCCGTTCTCATGGAAGTGTTATCTCCTTCTTTGTTAGGGGCAATGACTCTTTTAAAAAAGCTGTGGGGCTAAATGCTCCTTAGCTCCTTTTCCTTGACGTTATGCCTCAACCAGCCTCAGCCACCCAGGGATCTGACTAAGCCATTTGCCAAGGTCAAAAGTTGACCTCACTGAAGGCAAGACACTAATGTTGGGTCTTTGGCTTTCAATCAGTGGTACCATCATTAGAGTCATTCTGAGTCCTAATCTAGTTGCAGAGTGTCCCCCGACCCTTAAAAATAACCAAGAGCATAACTGGGAAAGAGAAGAGGGGACGACAGGTAGAGAGGTGACAAGAGGATAATGACACAGATTGTGGGGTCCCAACACAGCTAGGATGGGTACATAAACAATAGAATCCTTTATTTGCTAATTGATCATTGGTTGATTCTATTATACTAAATTGAATTGAAGATGTGAAAGGGCTCATCTCTAGTTTCTCAACTCTAGTTATGAGTAACAACAAAAATAGACATAAAATGACTACAAGATTAAGCAAACATGCCCACCCTCTCTCACAGTATGCCTTTGCAATGCTATTTGTCCACCTTGGAATGCCCTTTCCCAACTTGTTTGCTGCTAATCTATCAAATCTCAGCTCAGTTATTCTTGTTTTGTAGCATTCCCTGACTTTCTTGGGAAGCAGAGCTGTGTAGTAGAGAGCATTGGATTTGGATTGAACCAGACCTGGGTTTCAGTCCTAGCTGGGTTACCTTACATTTTCTTACTGTAAAATAGGCATAAAACCATCCTTGGGTGGTTGCTGGGAGGATCAGATCATATATGCAAGTGGGTAGCATACAGCCTGGCACATGATAGGCACGCAACTGTTAATTATTATTATAAAATGCCTATAAAGCAGTGATTCTCAACCAGGGTGATTTCACCACCACCCCCTCCCCCCAACCCAGGGGACATTTGGCAGTGTCTGGAAACATTTTCGGTTGTCACAACTTGGAGGGCGGTGCTAATATCTTGTAGTGGGTAGAGGCCAGGGATGCTAGTAAACATCCTACAATGCACAAGGCAGCCCCCCACAACAAAGAATTGTCTGGCTCCAAATGTCAAATATGCTGAGGTTTAGAAACCTGGATATAAAGCATCCAGAACAGTGTCTGGAATGTGGTGATATGTAGTTCCTGTCCCCTGCCCTTCACCCCTGGGCAGACTGGGGCTCTTCCCTAAACATTCCATTCATACCTCTATAGTATACTCTGTTGTCATTGCCTCTTCTTTCATTTTTTTTTATTATGTAAAATTTTCTATTTTAAATTTTATTGAGATAATTATAGATTCATCCCCTTTCATTTTGTATCCCCAACTCCCAGGTTGTTTAATATAGGAACGTTTCAGTGCTGGATTTGCAATGGGTTTTCCAAAGGAAACAATGTTACAGTTGTGGATGATACCACTCTATTATACTACCTGTTGATCATACAGGGTTTGGAGATTTTCCCTAGACCCTAATCATCGTGTGTCTCACTGAGGGTAAAATTCTTCCCAAGTTCTCAAATGGAGCCACCCATTTGTAAATCATCTAGGGGTGATCCAGAAGTAACACCAGGCCTGGAAGGAAGAGATTGATGGACAGAGAGTGGGTCATGGAGCCTGAGCATATGGGCACCATGAGGATGTGGGGTGTGGCACCAGGAAGGCTGGCACAGAGTGGGGAAGGGAGCAGATGGGGCTGGAGATGGTCTCTAGGACTTCTGATCTTTTCAGGTTGGTACTAGAGGAGAGTCTGAAAGTTATAGCCTCTTGAAGAGATCAAAGGCTAATAGTAACAGTAGTATGTGCCTGGCACCATGCTAAGCCTTTACACACATTACTTTATAGACTCTTCACAAAGGTTCCATGAACTAACATACCTAATGTCACACAGCTAGTGAATAGCAGAGTTATGATTTTTTTTTTTTTTTAAAAAGTCAGTTTGACTCTTGCCAGGCACTGGGTGGCTAGGGGGTGAATAATGGCCATCTTTCCCCCATCTGTGGCCAAGTGGGTCTCACCACCTTCTCTGGCCCCTGCCTTCACTCAAGTTGGGGGCAGATGAGCTCCAGACAGCTTAGACACAGCTTCATTGCATCTGACAGATTCCTGGCAGGACCAGGTCTTCCTCCCTCCATTGCCTCATGCCTCCAAGGTTGCCAATGGCTGTCCAGACCAGTAACACCTCTGCGAGGAGATCTGCCAGCAGCCTAGAGCCTGCTGAGTTGGTCTCAGACCCACTGCCTTAGAGGAGGGCCCTTTTGCTCCTTCTCTTCATGCACAGGTGGGTAGACACTCCAGTGTTGAAGGACGAGTACTGAACCCTCACCAAATATCATTCTGGATGAGACTCAGCAGGGTCATAGTCTCTTCAGTGGTGTTGCCATGGCAACCCCAGCCACATCCATCTGGCTGTCCCTGCTCAGGTCTCAGAGAATCTTCTTTTCTAGGGGCAGCAGCAGCTAGCCCTGAGTGGGAGGAGAGGATGTGGACGTTCATGTTCTCCTAAAGAAAGCTCCTTTCTGTAATGCATAGCCCATTGCAAAGGACTCCATCGGGCGTGAACATAAAGGAATCCACTGTTTGCTTCGTGATGTGTGAGTAAAGGAAAGCTCAAGCACCAACTCCGCCAGGTGCTTTCACAAACGTTATCTCAGTTAATCCATAACAACTCCGGCATCATTGCCCCATTTTGGAGATACGTGAAAAGTGATTGGATAGCCTGCCCAGAGACAGTGTCGGGGTTTTATCCCAGGTCAGTCTGACTCCAAATACCATCCTTTACTCACTAAACCCAATGCTTCGCAACTGAGAACTGCCCAATCGCTGCTGTCACTGTAGGAGGTCGGGAAAGAATAGCAATTAGTGTGTGCGTAAAACGGTCAAGGAATTCTGAGAGGCAGGTGAAGGCTTATATTTGATTCACTGGACAGGAGTGAGTAGGACGAGGTAGGATGCCCAAATAAGCAGTGTCCTGGTGTCTGGAGCTGGCATGGGGTGTTCGCCTTCTGCCCGCAGAGAAGACCCACTGGAACCCCCATTTATACTTTAAGAAATAGGAAGTGGCAAGTGATGTTAGAGACGTGGGCAAGAAACGATGCCAGACACCAAAGCCCAAAGCTTTGCTGCAGTCGCGTAAATGCAAGTGCTAGGAAACTCGGGAGCAGAGGAACCCAAAGAAATGGTGATGCTTCCCTTGAGAACACACTTATTAAATGTACACCAAAGAGCGTCCAACCACTAGCGAAACTACCAAGAGCTATTGTTTTAAGGAGCGAGGCGCTCCATCGTCACGTGATCCGGGCGCCCTGGGTCCTTACTGCGTACTCACCCTAGCCAATCACGTGGCGAGACGCCTCCTATGGGGCGGGATGTTTGACGGCGCCCGCCGATTGGTAGTGCTCGTGGAAGGCGGGGCCCGGACGCCGAAAGAGGGAATTAGTGTGGAGAACCGGGGGGAGTGAGTCGCCGCTGTCTTGTAGCCGCCTTCGCCGCGCCGGAGCCTCAGGTGAGGAAGCCCTCCGCCTGGCCCAGGGACTCCCCATCAGCCGCGGGATGGGCACTCACCGGCCTTTGAGACGCTCCGCCGGGGGCCCGCCCCCTTCGCCCACCATGTAACAAAGCCTTGGTGACCCCTGACCCTCCTCCTGTACCCCACCCCACCCCACCCCACCCCACCCCCTCTAGGTCTGGGATGAGCGAGGTCGGTCGACGTCAGTTCCCACGCCTCCTCGCTAGTGTGGCTAGTGGCCGAGCCTGCGGAGAGCTGGAGGCTTGGTCAGAGCCCGTCTCGTAATGTGGACAGGAAGGAGCCCTGGTGGCGCAGTAGTTAAGCACTCGTCAGCTAACCTAACGATTGGCAGTTCAAACCCACCAGCCACTCCACGGGAGAAAGATGTGGCAGTCTGCTTCGTAAAGATCACAGCCTTGGAAACCCTATGGAGCTGTTCTACTTTGTCCTGTAGGGTCGTTCTGAGTCGGAATCGACTGGAGGGCAGTGAGTTTCGTTTGGTTTTTATGTGGGTGCGTAACTTCCGACGCGGCTTTGGCGGGGGCAGGATTTAACGCTCCCATTTTACAGATGGGGAAACCAGTGTCCATTGGCGGTCCAGGGTCACCGAGTGGTGGGTCTCCAACGCCAAGACTGCAGATCCAGGCCTTGTTCCTCACACTGCCAGCCGCTCCTGATAGGGTATAGTGTGATGATTAGGAACAAGGGTTTGAGCCCTTGCTCCCCACTTACTCAGCGCTCATCAGATAATCTTGGACAAGTCATTTAACCTTTTTAAGCTTTGATTTCCTTGGTTGTGAAATGAACATTTAAAAAAGGAAAAAAGAAAAAAAACAGTTGCCTATGGAGACCATTCGACTCGGATTCCGACTCATGGTGACCCAGTGTGTGTCAGAGGAGAACTGTGCTCCACAGGGTTTTCAGTGGTTGATTTTTCAGAAGTAGATCACGAGGTCTTTCTTCCAAGGTGTCTCTGGGTGGACTCAAACTGCCTACCTTTCAGTTAGCAGCCGAGCACTTAACCATTGTGCCACCAGGGCTCCTTTTGAAATGAACATAAAACCCGTTGCCATCAAGTCCATTCTGACTCATAGCAGCCACATAGGACGGAGTAGAACTGCCCCATAGAGTTTACAAGGCTATAATCTTTGTGCGCCCATGGAAGCAGCAGTCAAGAAATCAAAAGACATATTGCATTGGGCAGATCTGCTCCAGTTCTCTTTAAAGTGTTAGGAAGCAAAGATGTCACTTTGAAGACTAAGGTGCACCTGACCCCAGCATGGTAATTTTGATCTCCTCATATGCATGTGAAAACTGGACCAATGAATAAGCAAGACTGAAGAAGAATTGGTGCATTTGAATTATGTGTTAATGAATATTGAATACACCATGGATTGCCAGAAGAACAGACAAATACGTCTTGGAAGAAGTACAGCCAGAATGCTCAGAAGTGAGAATGGCGAGACTTCATCTCACGTACTTTGGACATGTTATCGGGAGGGACCAGTCTCTGGAGAAGGACATCATGCTTGGTAAATTAGAGGGTCAGCGAAAAAGAGGAAGACCCTCAACGAGATGGATTGACACAGTGGCTACAACAATGGGCTCAAACATAGCACTGATTGTGAGGATGGCACAAGACCGGGCAGTGTTTTGTTCTGTTGTACGTAGGGTTGCTGTGAGTCGGAGCTGACTCAATGGCGCCTAACGACAACAGCAATAAATCTTTACAGAAGCAGACTGCCACATCTTTCTCCTGTGGAATGGCTGATGGGTTCAAACCACTGACCTTTTGGTTAGCAGCCAAGTGCTTAACCACTTTGCTGTCAGAACTCTTTCCTAAATGGACATAGTACCTACCGCATGGTTAGGATAGAATGAGGTAATCTGTATAAAGTATTTATCTTAGTGCCTCAGGCGTAGTAGAGGCTCAAGAAAATAGCTGTTGTTTAGGTGTTCTTGTAGCACATGTTGATTGAGGGCGTATTATGCACTGACACTGTGCTGGACGCTTGAGATGCAAAGGTGAGCAAATACAAAGCCCGTGCCCACATGGAGCTTACAGTCTAGTGGGGAGGTAGGTGTTAATCAAAAGTTATGCAAATATATCATTGCAGACTTGGGTAACTGCTCTGAAAGCGAATACAGGGAGAGCGGGGGTCTGGGATGACTTCCCTGAGAAAGTGATGTTTGAACTGAGGTCTGAAGGAGTGGGCAGGAGTTCACTAGACAAAGGGATTGGGGGTGGAGGATGCGGAGGAGACTGTTCCAAGCAGAGGAGATGGAATGCACAGTGGTCCTGAGGAAACGAAAGGAGGCTACTGGCATGAACGTAGACACACGAGAGAAAGTGGTGAGACGTGTTGCAGGAGCAGTCGGCAGCCCATGCAGGCCTTGGGAGCCACGGTACAGATTTGTTCTTTATTCCAAAGGTGATGGGGACCATTGGGAGGAATGCTGGAGAGAAGTCAAGCAGGGTGCCCGTTGGATTGGGTGACCTGGAGGTCATTAGTGACCCCAGTGAGCAGTGCCAGTGGAATAGTGGGGGTAGCACCTTGGGTGGGTCACTGTGGAATGTAGCCTTACTACCCATGGGCCTACCTTCTAAGGTGTGGCATGCATTGTTGGAGTCAGTCATTGGCTGCTGTTATTGGTGGGTTCTGACTCTGCCATATTCTGCGGACAGATGAGTGGATCTCTGCTTTCAGGCCTGCAGGCAAACTGGGAAGACCAGACACATGGGCACAACACCCAACTACTGCAAGCCGACAGCCCCAGATAGCACAGGGGACAGGGAGACCCAAAAAGAGAGATGGAAGTTGTCTTGACAAAGAGGGGGAGGAGAGGGCTTAGAATAGGCTGGGAGACCAGCCTGGGTAGAGCATGGCCAGAGGACAGCAGGGTGGTCTTACTGGGAGGAAGGGTCAGGTTGAGCAGCTGTGGGATTTGGGGTCAAATGCAGAATGCTGGACCAGGGAGTTTGGACTTTGTTTTTATGGGCACTGGGGAAGTATTGAAGGTTTTTGAGCAGGGGACTGTCAGGATAAAAGTGTTTTCATCGAGACTTAGTTGATATTGGTTGTAGCAGGAATCCGAAGGAAGAAGAAGGGAGTTTTTGTTGATATTTAATGATGGTAACATCTTGCATTTGTGCAGTGTTCTCGTCCCTGACTTTCTCGTGCAACATCTTGTTTTCATAGCAACCCTGTAAGTTGGGGTTTGGGGGGCAGCACTTAGTGCCCCTGTTTTACAACTTAGGACACCAGGGCTCAAACTGATGACTGACTTGGCTAGATGCACTTAGTAAGTGGTCTGGCAGGATCTGAGACCCAGCTCTGTGAACCCTGAGCGAGGCACTTTCTCTAGGACCACTGTTGCCTGCCTGCCGGCCAGTCCGCCTTTTTCTCTGAGCCTCAGTTTTCTCGTTTGGGAATTCTGGAGCAAGAACAGCAAGACTGGGTCAGAGGGTCTTGAGTCATGCTCCTGGGCTCCAGGGGGAATTGGGGCAGCTTTTCATACTTTCCTTCTCCCTTCCCAGCTCCCTTGGGGCCATGTCGGAGCGAGAAGAGCGGCGGTTTGTGGAGATCCCTCGGGAGTCGATCCGGCTCATGGCAGAGAGCACGGGCCTGGAGCTGAGTGACGAGGTGGCCGCCTTGCTTGCAGAGGATGTATGCTACCGCCTCAGAGAGGCCACACAGGTACAGCACCCCCAGCCCCAGAGACCCCCAAGTCTCAGTGTTTTTTCCCTTTGCTAACCAGCTCCCACGCAATTTCTTCAAGTATTTGCTGGGCACCTACTCTGTGCTTTGAAGGAGTAGGCGGTGAGCAAGCCAGAGTCAGTCCCTGCCCTCCACAGAGCTCTTCTAGCCAATTGGGCTTCCAGAAGACGGTGCCGGCTGGGCATCTTGTCAGTGCTCCTCACAACAGCCCCGCTGGCAGGCAGAGCAGGTTCCTACTCACGTTCTACAGATGAGAAACTGAGGCTCAGAGAGGGCACGGAACACCAGGGGTGTTGTTTGTACAAGAGCAGAGCTGGAATCCACTCTTTCTCATCGCTGGTCTGGTATCCTCTTTGCCTACTCCCCAGGCCGCCTCTCTTCATTTCAGGGTCCTAGTCCCCCTCCTCCCTGTCCCTTAACTCTGCCCTCTGTTCCTCTCCTCCCAGAATAGCTCTCAATTCATGAAGCACACCAAACGGCGGAAGCTGACTGTAGAGGATTTCAACAGGGCCCTCCGATGGAGCAACGTGGAGGTGAGTGGGGCTGGCGATGCAGCAGGACGTGAGGACCAGACACACCCACCAAGGACACTCATGGCAGCAGCAGGACAGGTGCCAGGTGCTGAGCCCGGCCCACAAGGGCTGTGTATTCAGAAAAGAAGGCGAGGAGGTCATGGGGTTAGGAAGTTAGGGAAGGCTTCTTGGAAGAGGTGGGACTTGAGCTGGGCCTTGAAGGGTGGTCAGGGTTAAACTAAGCAGAGAGGAAGAAGTGAGGGCATTCTGGGTAAGCAAGGAACCTGAACAAAAGTGTGGATGTTAGAATGTAGGTGTGGCTGTTCTGGGTCAGGGAGTTGAGAGAAGGTCATGTTGGGAAGAGAGGAGAGAGTTTTCAGAGTGAGTGAGTGTAAATGAGGCAGACCAGCAGCACGGTGAGGGTGGGGGTGTAGGACAGAACCCTACAGATATGTTAGGAGAGACCATGTCCTACCCCGAGACCCAGTAAGTCTGTATATGCCAGCCAGATTCCCAGCAATGGCCCTGAGCCCCCACCCCTGGGACCTCTGAACTTTGCTCAGACATGGGCCCCCTACCCTGGCCAGAAGAGCACCATCCAGGTGCTTGTTCCCTCCCAAGATTCAGGCTGCCCTCCATTCTCTCTCCTCAGGCCGTTTGTGGTTATGGATCCCAGGAGGCCCTGCCCCTGCGCCCCACCAGGGAGGGGGAGCTCTACTTTCCTGAAGACCGCGAGGTGAACCTGGTGGAGCTGGCCCTGGCCACCAACATCCCCAAAGGCTGTGCTGAGACGGCTGTGAGAGGTGGCTGCTGGGGCTGCAGGGGGTGGTGGTGGGCTGGCTGGTGGAGGGGGTGGAACAAGGCTTGGAGGGGTAGGTGGTGCTACACGGGGCAAAACCACAGACTGAGCCATTTCTCTGCTCTGGTTTAGTTCACGTCTCCTACCTGGATGGCAAAGGGAACCTGGCACCTCAGGGATCAGGTAAGAGGCAATGTGGGGATGCTGTCCCTCAGGAGCCGAGGGTGGTGCCGCTAAGCTTCTGGGTCTGCATCTGACAGGCATTTACTGATGCCTGCCTTGTACCGGAGGAGCCCTGGTGGCACAGTGGTTAAGCGCTCGGCTGCTAACTGAAAGGTCGGTGGTTCGAATCCACCAGCCACTCCACAGGAGAAAGATGTGGCAATGAGTAAGGGGTTTTCCCTGCACCAACTTCTGAGCAGGCGCTATCCCTGCCCAGTGGGCTCAGAGTGGGAGAAGGTAGCCCAGATCCATAACCAATCATGGTGCAGGGTGCTGGAGGCCAGGACAGCAGTCTGGGCAACAAGCTGGGGTTTCTGAGGGGAGCTGTCTCACTTCCCGCATATGCTGAGCTGAGCTTCCCAGGGCCTGGGGCTTGTGACCTCGGGGCTCAGGGACTGAGCAGGAGCTTGCCTGGCCGAGGCGGGGTGTAGAGCCTGCCTATGGAGGGCTGAGCAGGCTGCTCCAAGTGACTGAGTCAGGAGTCCTGTCTGAATGGGCTCCCTGTGGGTGTATGTGGGGATGCGGGGGCGGGGTGGGGCAGGCTGGGGAGGCAGGGAGAGGCCTGGCTCTCCTCCCCTGACCACTTCCTACCCTCACTTCTGCAGTGCCGAGCGCTGTGTCTTCGCTAACTGATGACCTTCTCAAGTACTATCAGCAAGTGACTCGGGCCGTGCTGGGGGATGACCCGCAGCTGATGAAGGCGAGCGAGTGGCTGGGCTTGGGGCAAAGAGTCCAACTTTCACATCCCATGAATTCTGGAAGATGCTCATTTCCTGTCTTCTCCAGATGGGACTGACTGATGTGGGCGGAAGCTACTCTCAGGGTGGACGTGGTGCTCTGAGGTGCCCTCCTGCCAGTCCCAACTCCCCTTCATGCTCCAGCAGGAACCCTTGTTCCTTGGGGAGTGGGCTGCTCAGCAGGGCCCTGTAGGGGGCTCAGGTGATCAGGGCCCCTTCGCCTTCGGTCTGGAGCCCACTGTCTGGGGTTTCCATTGATCTGGGGTCAAGTGTGGGGCATACACGTTGCAACCTGTTTGCCTGGACTTGGGAGGGAGAGAAGAGGAAGTAGAGCGGGCCAGGAGACCAGCACCCTGCCCTGGCCTGCTCTGAGACACCTGCTCATTGGCTTTTAGTCTCTGGGCCTCAGACCAGCCCCTGCTGCTTTATCTTCTGGCCTCTGGGGCTCCAGCAGGGCCTGCTGGGCAGTCCTCCTGCTAAGTGCCCTTCTGCCCAAAGTCAGGTGAGGGCTCATTTGGTGGTTTGCCCGATCATGTGGCGCCTCTGGTTGAGACTTTTATATCCTCCACATCTTCACACATCTGGCTGCTGCTGCTGCTGCTGTCATTTCCCTTGCAAAAGTACTACTGTTGCAACTGTACCTTCCTGTCTTTGAAACTTGGCTCCTGTTCCCCAGGCACAGTGTGGGAACAGAAGGCTGGATGTGGGGCCAGGCCTGGACTTGGGAGCGTCCTCACCAGCCTGTGGTCTGCTTTCACGGCTGCTAGGCTTGGAATCTTTATCCAGAGGAGTCTGGAGGGCACAGATGGTGGAGATTCAGACCTGAGATGGTTTTACTCATTTATTTACTCGAATATGTTTTTTCTGCTTATGAAAGTAACACTATAAACCAAACCAAACCTGATGCCATCGCATCGACTCCGACTCATAGTGACCCTACAGGACAGAGGAGAACTGCTCCACAGGGTTTCCAAGGAGCAGCTGGTGGATTCAAACTGCTGACCTTTTTGGTTGGCAGCTGAGCTCTTAACCACTGCGCCACCAGGGCTCCGGAAAGTAACACTAGTATGGGCTTCTTATAGAAGTTGTTGTTGTTAGCTGCCATTGATTCAGCCCCTGACTCATGGCAACCCCATGTGTTACAGAGTAGAACTGCTCCATAGGGTTTTCTTGGCTGTAATCTTTACGGAAGCAGATCATCAGTCCTTTCTTCCGTGGAGCCGCTGGGCGGGTTCCAACCACCAACCTCTAGTTTAACAGCTGACTGCAAACAGCTTGTACCGCTGGAGCTTCTTATTATAGAAACATACACTGTATATTATAAAAATAAACTAGAAAGTCTCCTATAGAACCACTCACCCACTTTTTTTCTATTTATAAAGTATAAATAGTATAAACCAAAGTGGTATTATATTAAACGTCTGGTTTTAAACCTTGCCTTTCTCAATTAAAAATATATTGGGCATTTAGGTTGTAGTCAATGTTTTCTTATTATAGACAGCACTATGTGTGGGGGTGTGTGAGTGGCTTTCTGTAGGACAAATTTACAGACATAGAATTTCTGGATCAAAGAGTATGAACATGTAAAATTTGAATACATTTAAGTGCTCAACTGTCCTCCCCCAAGACGTCAGTTCCTGCTTGGGGCTGGTGGTCTCAGTGCAGTCCAACCCTTCCTTTACAGATTGCTCTCCAGGATCTGCAGACGAACTCCAAGATCGCAGCGCTTCTGCCCTATTTTGTTTATGTGGTCAGTGGGGTAAGTGACCAGGCTGGGGCAGGGGAGATGGTTTTATGGAGCAGAAATAGTCGAGCAGTGTGCAGGGCCCATGGCAGGTGCTGTTGGAATGGCTCCTGTCTGCACCCTCATGTCCTCTGAGGTAGTCTCTTCTCCCAACAGGTGAAATCTGTAAGCCATGACCTGGAACAGCTGCACCGGCTGCTTCAGGTGGCACGGAGCCTGGTTCGGAATCCACATCTCTGCCTGGGGCCCTACGTCCGCTCCCTGGTAGGCAGTGTCCTGTACTGCGTCCTGGAACCACTGGCTGCCTCCATCAACCCCCTGAATGACCACTGGACGCTGCGGGACGGGGCGGCCCTCCTACTCAGCCACATCTTCTGGTAGCCACTGGGCCTAGAGCTGAAGAAGGGGCAGGCTTGCTATAGAGCCAGTGGGTGGGGGTAGGGAGATGGGGTGAAGCCTCTGGTTTTGAGGCTATATGTTGAGAGGACAGGGAGCCCTTTATTTAGTCTCTTCCCATAAAACTTCCCAGCTGGTCTGCCATGGCACACTGGGATTCTACAATTATTACAAATATGCCACGGTATTGGTCCTGTAGCCCTCAGCCTCCAGGCCAGTTAGTCCTGGCTGCAGGCAGCCTCATCCACACCCAGCGTGCCCCATGAGTGCTGTTTTCCCTGTGTGCCATGACCTGAGCCTAGTTGGGCAGCGCCATGCCTCATTCCCCTCCCTGACTGAATGCTGCTCCCACAGGACTCATGGGGACCTTGTAAGTGGCCTCTACCAGCAGATCCTGCTCTCCCTGCAGAAGGTCCTGGCAGACCCTGTGCGACCTCTCTGCTCTCACTATGGGGCAGTGGTGGGGCTGCACGCCCTGGGCTGGAAGGTGAGGAGCCTGGCATTTTTCAGACAGAACCATAAGGGCTCTCTTTCATAGTCAGAAAAGTAGTATTTGTGTGGTTTTTCTTAAAAAAAATCACTCATTATTTGTGTGTCTTTTATTATAAAAATGGTGTATGCTTGCTGCTGTCATTTATTGAGCTCTTGCCTTAGGTCAGGCCCGGTAATAGCCTGGCTTTCTGTATGTAAATGTCTCATCACTTCAGAAATCCTGCATGCATTTCCCGTTTTGTAAATTCCTGCCCATTCTATTTTATCATGTTAAGGAAATGTCCCCTCAATTCCTCTTTTATTGAGTGTTTTAAACATGTATAGAGGTTGAATTTTGTCAAACACCTTTTTAGCATCTATAGAGATGATCAAATGATTATGTGCCCTAGTTCCCGTTAATATGACAGGTTATATTCATGGATTTTTCTTCTGAACCATCCTTGCATAGCTGAAATACATTCTACTTGCTGCTGTTAAGATTTTGGTTGGAATTCTGTTACCTCAGTTTTGGAGAGAATTGATGTCATTATATTAAGTCTTCTTGACCACGAACATGTCACCTCTCTTCATTTTTTAGGTCTTCACTGTATTTCAGGATGCTTTCATAATTTGCCCTGAAAAGAAACTGCATGTACTTTGTTAAATTTATTCCTAGATTCTTGCTGTTCTCTAATGCAGTTGTAATGGTGTCTTCTTTTCATGGTTATGTTTCTTGTTGTTGTATAGAAATGCAGTTGATTTTTGTGTATTGATCTTATATCCAGCTACTTTATTCTCATTTTTAATCATTTATATGCAAATTATTTTGGGTTTTTAATATAGATGACATATCACATGCAAGTACTGACAACTTTATTTTCTCTTTTCTTTTTTACCTTATTGCTAGGGCCAGTAATGTCTGTTCACATATAATGGACATCCTTGTCTCATTTCCGATTTTAAAAGAAATAACTAATGACCTTTCCCATTTGGATGATGTTTACTTGTGTGTTTACAGATAGATACTTTCTGCAGATTAAGAAAATTACTTTATAGTCTTAGTTTTATCATTAGTTTATGTTGAATTTTTATCTGATGGTTTTTCTGCATCTTCTGAAATCATCCTAAGGTTTTTCTGCTTTTATCTGATAATGTGATCAATTATATATATGTAGAGAGATTTTCAAATAGTAAACCATCTTTACATTTGTGGGATAAATTCAACTTGGTTTATTGGTACATTCTTTAAAAAAGTAGTGGGGTTTCTATTGGAATGTATTTTTTATATACTCTGACTTTCTAAAATTTTTTTAAAGATTTATCTATTCAGGAGTAAAATCAATCAGTAAGTTTTCTCTCATGTACTTTCCTTGTCTGGTTTTTGTATCAGGATTATACTGGCCTCCTTTTTTTATAAGATTGAGCTGCTTTTTTTCCTTAAATATCTATAGACCTTTGTAATTTTGGCATGTTTTCTTCGTGGCTAGATTTTTTTTACTGTTTCAATATCTTTAATAGTTATACGATTATTTAGTTTTATTTTTTCTTGAGTCAGCAGTAAATTTTATTTTTCTAGAAATTTATCAATTTTGTCAACATTTTCAAATCCTCAGGGGCTGTGGATGAGTGACCTCGTCTGTAAAGTCTTAATTGCTTTACCCCAAGTTAATCACAGGATTTTAAAGTTATCTAATCAGAATCCAGGTCCACATGGGTTCAGCTGAGTCCCAGTTTACATCTAAGTGGGGGCAGTACAAGCCTACTGTTGGCATAGGGTAGCGATCTGCAAACTGTAGACTGTGTTAGCAATGGGCATTACTTATGCCCTCTCAGCTCTTGGCCTGTACATCAGTGATAATGAGGTCATTTTATTGTGTCTTAGTGCCCTACTTTATTTCCAGTGCTTAGCAAAGACTTGGACACACAAAAACAAAAAACAAAAAACACCCAGTTGTTACGAAGTCAACTCTGACTCTGTGTTGCAGAGTAGAACTGTGCTCCCTAGGACTTTCAATGGCTGATTTCTTGAAAGTGGATCACCAGGCCTTTCTTCCAGGGAATGTCTGCATGGGCTCAAACCACCAACTTTCAGTTACTAGACAAGTGCATAATGGTTGTGCCACCCAGGGACTTCTCTTGGACACAGTACCTTTCAAATAAATAAATGTTGGTTGAGCATGCCAAGTAGGCATGGACAATGGAATCAGGGAATTTAGGATTGAGCCTGGTCTGGGATCAGGGAGAAAAAAGGTTTAGGTCTTTCCATGGGAAAGGGTACTAAAGAGGCAATAAGCAAAAAAGAGGTGGCTTACTGCTTTCCTTCTCTCCCTTCCAGGCTGTAGAACGAGTCCTGTACCCACACCTGTCCACTTACTGGACAAACTTGCAGGCTGTGCTGGATGATTATTCAGTGTCTAATGCCCAAGTCAAAGCAGATGGGCACAAAGTCTACGGTGCCATTCTGGTGAGTGCCAGCCCCTTCTTGTACCCCTTTCCTGCATGAACTCAGCAGCTCAGCTGGCTTACCCTGGAATACTTGGTGGGCCCAGGTTCCTCCTAGTTCTTGCCTATCCTAGTCCGGCTGTTCCTGCAGGTGGCCGTGGAGCGACTGCTTAAGATGAAGGCCCAAGCTGCAGAGTCCAGTAGAGGCGGCCCAGGGGGCAGGGGATGCCGGCGCCCCGACGACCTGCCCTGGGACAGCCTTCTCCTGCAGGAGTCACCCCCCGGGGGTGGTACGGAGCCAGGCTTTGGGTCTGGCCTCCTGCTGCCGCCAGGGAGCGTGAGGCCGGAAGATCCCTCCCCTTCGGTGACCCTGGCGGACATCTACCGGGAGCTCTATGCCTTCTTTGGTGATAGCTTGTCCACTCGCTTCGGGACAGGCCAGCCTGCACCCACGGCCCCACGGCCGCCGGGGGACAAGAAGGAGCCAGCGGCCGCCACGGACTCGGTGCGGAAGATGCCGCAGCTGACCGCCAGCGCCATGGTAAGCCCACAGGGCGATGACAGCCCCAGGGGCGCCGGTGGCGGCCCCCCGTCGGCCTCCGCGCCTGCCGCCGCCGAGAGCCGGCCGCTGCCGCGCGTGCACCGGGCGCGGGGGGCGCCTCGGCAGCAGGGCCCAGGCACCGGCACCCGCGACGTCTTCCAGAAGAGCCGCTTCGCCCCGCGCGGCGCCCCGCACTTCCGCTTCATCATCGCCGGGAGGCAGGCGGGGAGGCGCTGCCGCGGGCGCCAATTCCAGACGGCCTTCCCTGCGCCGCACGGGCCCAGCCCGGCCTCCCGCTACGTGCAGAAGCTGCCTATGATCGGCCGCACCGGCCGGCCGGCCCGCCGCTGGGCGCTCTCCGACTACTCGCTCTATCTACCGCTGTGAGGCGCGCCCGGAAGTGACGTCTCCACGCTCGCGCCGCGCCGGATGAGGCGGGGCTTGGACGGTTGACTCCTGCGGCGTCGCTTCCTGGTGGCAAGGGCACCATGGCGCTGCCCTGGCCGCAGCGCGTCGAGCTCGCGCTCTTCGTTGCCTGCTTCCTGTGCGGGGCCGTGGCGGCCGCGGCGCTGACCCGGACCCAGGTGCGGCTGCGGGGCGGGGACAGCCTTGGGTTGGGACGGACAGGCGGGGGGCTGGCCAACCCGGAGCCGGAGTCTCGTGCGGCTTTCTGGTCCTTTCCGGGTCGGCCGCGCCCGGCGCGCTGCTTCTCCGTTGTTTACCGCGGAGATGCAGCGATGCTAATCGAGCTCTGCAGCCCCGCCCGGCCAGGTTATACTTCGAAGTCGTTTCCTTGTAAAAAGGGATGAGTTCTCAGGAGCGTCTTAGAGTTCCAGACACAGTCGAGTCTGGTGGCTCCCGGTGCATAACCTTCCCCTGATTCTGGACCAGAAGTCGGCCCAGCCTTGCGAATACTCGTTAACTCAGAAACCATTTGTGCTAAGCTGTGGCGAGAAATGACGCACAGTGTAGTAGAGATGAACAGACTGTCACATGATTGCAACAGTGTGTTAAATGACAAAACGATGTAAAAAATGCCCTGTCAGGCCGTCTTGTTAATAAACATGTTGTTATGCATGGACTCATTCGATGTTTTTGAAGTAGGCACTGTTAATGCCTGTTTTACAGATTAGAAAACATCTCAGATAATAATTACTTGTTGAAGGCTACACAAGGTCTGCGTTTACTCTAGCATTTTTGCACAGAGGGGAGACCAGAACTTTTGAGGTTTCTCTGAAGCTCGTATTATATGATCACTACCTATCTCCTGATCCTTCTGGTCACTGCAGGTTTGATTCCCCAGCATGCCCTCTCCACGCCGATCTGCCTGACTCACAACCAGGAACTGACAGCGCACAAATAATTTCCTAAGGTGGCTCTGGCCTAGGTTATCCCTACCACCTGCCATGAGCCTGCATCCAGAGGCACTGACCTGAAATCCGGGTCTCAGCATTTTCTTTCCACAGGGCTCCTTCAGTGGCCGCTGCCCCCTGTATGGTGTGGCGGCCCTGAATGGCTCCTCGCTGGCCTTATCCCGTCCTTCGGCCCCATCCCTGTGCTACTTTGTGGCTGGGGTCTCTGGCCTCCTGGCTCTTTACTGCCTCCTGCTTTTGCTCTTCTGGGTCTACAGCAGCTGCATCGAAGACTCCCACAGGTGACTGCCCCACTGGGGGTCAGGGGTTAAGGTGGAAAGAGTCCCATCTCAACTACAAGGCTCTCTCTCTCCCTCCTTAGAGGCCCGATAGGGCTCCGCATTGCACTGGCCATTTCAGCTATAGCCATCTTCCTGGTACTAGTGACTGCGTGTATTCTTCGATTTGGCACCCGTTCTCTCTGCAACTCCATCATCTCCTTGAACATTACATCTAGGTAATAGGAGAGGGATGGGGGCCTGGCTAGCACTACCGATCCTCTGCAGAAGGGTCCCATAACTTCCCTTTTCATCCCCCTTCAATTGTTCTCATTGCCAAGGGCCCTGGGCACAGGTATGCTTGGGGCTTATACCCCCCCCCCAGTCCCCTTCTCATCAACTGTGTCTTTGACCTCACAGCTGCCCAGAAGCCCAGAAAATTTCATGGACACCCCCGGGAACCGCCGTGCAGTTTTACTCCAATCTACATAATGCTGAAGTGAGGCCCTGGGATATGAAAGGCCTAGGAAGATCGAGGGATACACTGGATATAAGTGTCTGTAGCCAAGGGTGCTGTGAGCAGCTGAGAAGGAGCTGTTAGGCTGTGAGCCTAACAGCCATGAAGAGTGGCGTGGGGTGGGAGGGGCTGGATTTGACGTGCTCACACTCCTGCCCTTGTCTCCCACAGATCTCTTCGTGGGTGAATCTGGTATTGTGGTGTGTGGTCTTGGTGGGCCAGGTTATGCAGTGGAAGTTGGAAGCCACCCCATACCGGCCGCTGGAGAAGGGGGACCCCGAGTGGAGCTCTGAGACAGATGCTCTCTTTGGGCCTCACCGTCCCCATTCCTGAAGAGTAACCAGACTGTTTCCTGCAGCCCTGCCCAAGTGCCTGCAATCTTCCTGCCCCCTTGCAGCCCCACTGATGCCGGAAGCCTGTTTTCCTTCCACAAGGGAAACGTGGTGACAGCCACTTCTCGTCCTGTGGCTGTTTTTGTACCAAAATATTAAATGACTTTCTTCCTTCATCTTGGTACTGAGTTCTTGGTGTTAAAAGCACTGTAGGCACGTGGGTGGGAGGAAGGAGTGAAGGTTCAACGGACAGATGAAAATTCACAGGTACCGTCAGCCTCTCCTTTGGGAGAGCCTGCGACAAACATGCCTTTATTTTCTGCTTATGACTCTCAGGCCTCCTGTGTGACCTTGGTTGTCACCGTATCCCTAAGATTAAATTGATCCCCCTCTGGGAGGGTGAGTGACCCAAGGTTTGCCCTTTACAAGCTCCGGTAGGCACCCACAGTATTGTCAAAGAGTTGCGTGTTGGGAAAGTGTCCAGACTTGTCCAAGAGGAAGTAGAAGCGCCGGCCTTTGACCTTCAGGGGTAACATGGCAGGGACTTCACCTCGGTGAGCCATGCAGGAAACCTGGTTCAGGGGAACAGTGATGTGGGTCCCCAAGCCAAACGGGGCATGAGTAGTGAGGGTCACCTGCTGCCCTCCAGCCCGCAGCATCACTGAACGCACAGAGCGGAGGGAGAAGAGAAGACCAGCACCAAGCACGAGGGTCCCTGCAGAAGAGGGAAAACTCGGGTACTTGTTTTCACTAGAAGGTCAGCCCCACCCTTCCAGCGCCCCCTAAAGAAAAATTATGAGAGTAACCTTTACTGAGCTCCTTTTTTACCCCAGAACCTTGTTAGTCATTCCAACAAATAGTGGCCACCCTCATTTTAAAGCGTTAAGTCACGTGCTCAACCGCGGAAGGGGCAGACACAACCTAGATCTGTGTAGGTGGTTCTTCCGGGGGTGCTCTGCGCTCCTAAGGGGGTGGCCCGCCTCCCGCTAACCCCCCATACTCTCCTGGTTGAGCAGGGAAGGTCGTGCCCAGCCACCCACGTTCCTGGGGCAGGAAGCCAGACCCCGCCTTACCGATGGCGCCGCAGCCGACTGCCAGGCTGTAGCGCCAGAGCGTGGAGCGTAGGTCGAAGCGGCCTCGCTCTGGGACCTCCGCAGCCGGAGGTCGGGCCAACGCGGCCACGGCCAAGGAAGCCCAAAAGACGCCCTGGCCAGCGCAGAACAGCCCGAGGACGGCGAAGAAGCGGCCCCGCTCGTGCTCGAAGAGTAGCACGTCCCGGGGCGGGGCGGCGTCGTGCAGGGCCCGGCGCGCTAGCAGGGGCCGCAGCGCGAGGCGCAGTCGCAGGCACCCCGGCCGCCAAGCCGCCATGTCCCGGTCCGGCAAGCCCTTTCCGGGGCGGGACTTCCTGCCGGCGGCCCGCCCCCGTCCAGCCCCCACCCCGGTTCCGCGCAACGAGCCCGAGCAAAGCGCCCCGCCCGCAGCCGGGAGGGCCCGGGCTCTTGGGGGAACGCGAGACAAATCCAGTACCAGGGCACAAATACAATGTCACTCTTTATCTTAAAAAGTACGGGAGGGTTCTGGGGTTAAGTACACAAAGCACCTAAGTCCTTCGGGTAGTTTAGTGTCAGCTCTACGAAGTAAGCTTCGGCTTCCCGGCACCACTGAGGCTCAATCTTCCGGAAGTCTTCCAGAAGGCAGGAGAGGAGACAGATCCAGCAGCCATTCCTTCTTGGTCACAGTCACAGTTACAAGGTGGCCTCGGGCCGGAGAGGAGGAGACAATATCCAAGGGCTATTTACAGGGGGCTTCCAGGGAATCAGAATCACTTCATGAACGCCACTTCCGGGATCTTGCCCTCAGCCTGAGGAGAAATGAAAGGTCAGCAGACAGGAAGCCTGTCCCAGCCTCTCCTTTTACTTGGCCTTCTTTAAGACCCGGAGGTCACTGTCTCTTTGCCACCATATTTTCAAACGTGGCAAACGTTACCTTGAGTTGCGTGAAGACCTGTGCAGATCTGGTGTAGTCCCAGTCGTTGTCCTGAAGGCACCTGGGGTGGGGGAGAGCCAAAATGCAGTCACTGTAACCTCTAAATGCCATCTCAAAACCCACTTTGTAGAAATACTCCCCTGATTTGCCAACAATTATATATGAATAAATCTGTCTTGGAAGTACAGCCAGAATGCTCATTTGAAGTGAGGATGGTGAGACTTCGGACATGTTACCAGAAGGGACCAGTCCCTGGAGACGGACATCATGCTTGGTAAATTAGAGGGTCAGCAGAAAAGAGGAAGACCCTCAACAAGATGGACTGACACAGTGGCTGCAACAATGGGCTCAAGCATAACAAGGATTGTGAGGATGGCGCAGGACCGGGCAGTGTTTCGTTCTGTTGTACGTGGGGTTGCTATGAGTCAGAACTGACTCTACAGCACCTAACAACGATATATATTCTTACACATTCTTGCACTATTTATAAAAATGAGAAATTGATAGAAATCCAAATACCTATCAATGGTCCATCAAATTCAAAGAAATATTAAATAGCTGTCAAGAACAAGGTAGTTTTTATACTGCCAGGAAACAAAATGTTCATGGTTTAGGTAAAAAAAACCAAACTGCAGAAGAGTATGTAAAAAGGGACTTCATTTTGGCTTTAAAACTTGTGCGAATTTATGTACAAGCAAATTTTTATGGGCCACCTTTTTTTTAAGCAACAAAAATGTTTTAGCTTTTAAAATTTCAGGCTTATTATTCACTACCATCCCTACCTCAGTTTACCCCAATGCCTACACATGCCCAGCACTCACTTCTGGGACCACTCGAGGTTCATGCCAGATTGAGTAGAGAACGCCTGCAACATTTCCTGTTGCTCTGGGGAGAGGGTGGGCACTGGACTGGAGGAAGGCGTGGGGGCAGGCATGGCGAAAGCTCTTTGGATCTCTTCTGGGCTGGCATTCCGCACGAACAGCTCATCATTTACGATACACAGCCTTGGGGACAGAAAGCACCTTAGAGATCCAGATAGACCACCTCATCCTTCCATCGTTCCCATTCCCACTGACACAACACTCAGATTTCTTGAGTACCTGCAAGGTCCCCTGCCCTCCTAGCTGTTACCTTTTATCATTTACCCCTACCTACAGACTGCAGGTTTGGAAGGATTATCTTCCACAACCCACGGACAGTTCTTAGTCCTCATTTCACAATAAACTTAGGCAGTGAACACTGTTACACCAATTTTCAGATTAGAAAACTTCCCCATAGCTGAAGGTGGTGGGGCCAGGATGAAAACCCAGACAGTCTGACTCCAGAGCCATGGCTACTCCTAATCCTGTTAGCCACCTCCTCTGACTAACCCCTGCCTTTCTGAAATTCTGCAAATATCCCCCTGAGGAGTGACTCCACCCCTAATTGCCACACTGCTGGCCATGGACCAGGACCGGTGCTCCACATCGTAAGCAGAACACTTACCCTGAATTGCTGGCGGGAACAGCAATGAACGTCCGGGTGAAGGCTCGCAAAGAATCCCGAGACTTTCCATCCACTGCAGTGGTAACAAAGCCAGTGACCCCTTAGAGTCCTTCATGCTTTATATTTACAAACAGCTTTCCGAGTCATGCTCTCATTTAATACAAAGGACCAAAGTGGGCCAGAGAGGAATGATTATGTACTGGGGGAGCAGAGATGGGGTGACGTGCCAAGGTCAGGGAGGACAATAATAGTAACAATATTATCCCACGGTGAGAGCCCTTGTGTGCCAGGCCCTGTGTCAAGCACTTCCTAAGTTACTTCTCTGACTTCCCCAGCACCACTCTGAGATGGCTCTTCCTAAGCCGCTGTAACGACTCTGGGGTGCAAAGGTAATGCAACTTGCCAAAAGACACACACAACCAAGGCTTGGATGGAAACTCATACTTACCTCACTCCAGAGACCCACCCAGGCATGTGTCATATCCCGGACAGGAAAGACAGGTGGAGGACAAGCCAAACCAAGATGGTTGACAGACACAATGTGGGGAGATCAGGGAAGAAAAGGCAACTGGGAAGCTGAGAGTGCCTAAGAAAGTCTTGCTGGGGGAAGGCCCTCTGCAAATTCAGGAAGGAATCAAAGAATTCTTACCTTCCTTGAAGACCCCACTGACGGAAAAACACAGTAACGTGCTCTACAAGAGAAGAAACGTCAACCACAGGTAGGCATTCCAGCCAGGGCCTCAGCCCCTCCCCCTCCACTTCTTAGCCACCTCAGCCCCCGATTCTGGGCTTCTGTCAGGGAAGAAACCGGTGCTTACAGTCTGGGCGCTTATGTCTACCACGAAGGAATTGATGTCATGCTGAGTTTTGGGCAACTCATTGAGGAAGGCAACAACGTTGAGGCGTGTATGCTTCAGCAGGCGGAAACGCAGGCCTGTGGACAAAGGAGAAACCAAGATCAGGGGGCTGAGTTCCATGACCCAGTCTGCACCCCTTCTCCCACCCTGCTTGGTTTACATCACACACTTACTAGGGTCTTTAAGCTTCTTCACATTCCTGCTGTCCTTGAAATACTCAGCCAAGCTGCTTCTGGAGGAAAAAAGAGGAAAGGAGGCAGTGGTCAGAGCAGTGTGGCCACTAGCAGGTGCTGGCCTAGGTCTGCTGGGAAGCCCTGTGGTCCTGGGCAGGCTCTGGGCTGGGATGCTCACCGGTTAGGATTCTGGGGGGTGACAGGAATGCTTAGGGAGCAGCAAGCCCCATCGTGGTAGGCATCCAAGAGCCCCTGCCGGTCTCCAGAGTCGTAAATCGCATAGTATCTGTGGGGAAAATAAAAGGGCAAGTCCGAGCTCCACAGTCTGGAGCCACAACCTGTTGCCATCTAGTCGATTCCGACTCACAGCAACCCTACAGGGCAGGACAGAATAGAACTGCCCCATAGGGTTTCCAAAGCTGTAAATCTTTACGGAAACTGACTGCCACACCTTTCCCCCATGGAGTGGCTGGGGGGTTCAAACTACCGACCTTTCCACTTAACCACGGCGCTGCCAGAGTTCCTTTGGAGCCAGAGAGAGACCCAAAAGCTCTCAAGAATGTGCTTGGGCTAGCCCACGTCTCCCCAGCCTCAGGGCCCTGGATACTTACTGCTGCAGGAAGTGCAGGACCAGACTCTTCAGGGTCTCTGTTCCAAAATAGCTTCCCTGGAATCAAACAGGTATTAGGAGCATGTAACCAACACTCTCCCCATTACAGGTTAGGACTCTATCCCTGCTTCTCACCTTGCAGGGAGGTAGCATCGTGGGAGCTTCAACATCAAAGGCAATTGGCGGAGGTAACTCATGGCCATCCTGGGAGGTGAAAATTGACAGCGTAAACCAGAGACAAAAGGCTGGACGAGTAAATAGATGGAAGAGCTAACAGTGGTGGGTCAGAGATCAAGTGTAAAAGACGCATGGGAAATCCACAGGCAGGACCAGTCAGGGTTTTCAACTTAGGGTCCAGGATTACTGACATACACAGCTTTTGCTTACAGGCATTCTTCTGGGAAGGGTTACCCCCTCTGTCAGATTCTCAAAAGGGTCTACGTCCCCAAAGTAACGGTCACACAAAAGCATCTTAGGCAAGACCTCGGCTGTGGGAGATGCCACGGTTGTCAGAAGAGAACTGAAAACGTTACCGACTTACCAGGCGTAATAACTTGGGGAATCGTTCGCGAATGGCGCTGTCAAGAACGGGACAGAAGTGAGAGATGCTTCAGAGCCACCATGCCTCCTGGGCTGCTCTAGGAGCAAATACACCAACACCCGAGGGACAGCCCATCCCACCCTGCTCACCCCACACACCTCCCTAGCCTCTGAGCTCAGGGGGAAATGGCCCTTGAGCTCCTACCCCACCCTGCCCGGGGCACCCAGAAACAGACTGCCTTGAAGGCTGACGCTCTCTCTCTCTGCCTGACCCCGAGTGCCACAGGAGCAGCACCCCCAGCCCAGGCTTTAAGCCCAGGCCCTCCTTCCCCTCCCTGCCCCCCTTACCTTCCACCTACTCACCTGTGCAGCCCCGGGAGGAGGGAATGGGGTGGGAGCCCGGGGGGCTCCGCTGCCTCACCAGGTGTCCATCAGTTCTGCCAGGTCTGGCCTTGGCCAAAACCAGGACACACCACAGGGATGGCACAAGATGTTGGGGCAGGGAGATGAGCAAGGCAGGGCTCAGGAAAAGGGAAGGCAAAAGAAGAAGAGAAAGAAGGAAAAGAGAACTAGAAAAAAGGTAGGATGGGGCAGGAGTAAGGGAGAGATGGGGAAATACAGGGAAGTAGAGAGAAAAGAGAAAGAGAAAGCAGAGAAAAGCGAAAGAACTACGAGGCAAGGAGGCATTGAGAAAAAAGAGGAAACACAGGGAAAAGG